CAGTCACCACATGGTCAGCTCTGCTAGTCCAGGGAAGCTGCCTGCGGAGTGTGTGACTGGAGGCTGGGCTTGGAGGCTACAGTTTGGATGTTAGGGTAGCTGTATAACCTACACCTTGAGCCCTACACCCCTTCGTGGTGAGGGGAAATCCTGGGACCGCCGCAGCCTGATTCCTGCTTGAGGAGGATCCCTGACAGCAGACAGCAGCCCCTCTGCAGTGACTGAAGAGTCCAGCATCATCTTCCAACCTGAAGATTGTTCATGGAGTTCGTGAGTGCACCGTTTTTTAGTTAGTCAGGGAATTTGTTTTGGGGACCCCCTACTCCCTGAACTGTGTCCTCAAGCCAGGGAGCGAGGGTTTGAGGATTTTATAACCTGCTGCTTATTATACCTGTGGAGGGATTCACCACCTCCTCCCACTTGTGGGACTTTTGGGCTGTACTGAACCCAGTCAGCCACACTGCTAAACCACTGCAGAGAATTGTATAGGTCGTTAAGGGCCCCAGCAAAATACGCATACCAATAGGACACTAGTTTTACACTTGTTACATCAAGTCACGGGTATTTTCAGTGTGGGCACCGGTGACCCTAAAAATAGTGTTTCACCCTGTTATGTTGTATTTGTTGCCTGTTTAATATAATTATTGTATTGAATATATTTTTGTGTGTTGTGTTATTTCTTGGAAGTCTGCAACTATCTGGCAAGTAAGTGGGGATTACTCTGTAGTTAGAATTTGCTGCCCTGGTGACCCTGCCAGGAAGGAGTGAGGGGGGTGGACGCACCGCCAAATAATTTAATAGAAAACAAAAAAGAAAAAAGATTCACGCTGCTGAGTGTGTGGCGGGATCCAAAAGAACCCAGACCTGTCCATCAAAACCTGGAAGCGGATTGCCATTAAAGGAGGTAACCAGGTGGAGAGGGGCGCTACAAATGTATGCTGGGCTAAACTAAAGCCTTCTTCAGCTAATGCAAGGTGTTATACTTAAGGGTACTTAACATAAGATTATAGAATTCAGGCCGAGTAATTGCTAGAAATGTGTGTGATTTTAATTTATTTTTATATCATTTCATATGAAATTCATATATTCATTTTATTTACATATATATATATATGTATATATGTGTGTGTGTGTGTATATATATATATATACTATGCTTCAATGCATATTAATATATGTTTGAATAATTCATATTGATATAATTAATCACTACCACATTAATATTTAGCACACTATCAATGTAACTTTGTGTGTGAGATACAAAATCACACACATTTGTAGCGATTTACTTGGCCTGAATTCTATAATCCTGTTCACTTATGTTCAGTATCCTATAACACCTTGCGTTGGCTGAAGTAGGCTTTGGCTTAAGCAGATGGATGTTGTACCATGGTACAAGCCTAGGAGGTGCCTTCATGACCTTGGTAGTGGTAATGCATTTCTTCAGAACAAAGAGATAAGAGGTACACCTGGTACCATTAAAAACAAGGTGGAAAGATGATTGGCTAAATCTAGCCTCAGCTGAGGCATGTGGTACCTTTTTACTGGTGAACAGGTAGGATAGCCTTGGGGTGTTACTTTGGAAGCACACCTCCTATGTAAGGTGAACTTAATACGGCATGAGATGGCCTCCTGAAAAGTGGTATTGTATTGAGCTGTTTTTTCCCCTGCACTATACTTTTGATTTTTCCACAATAAACGAGGCTGATATTGGTTATTTGGTCTCGAGTATATTTCATACAAACCAACATGTGATCAAGCAATTGACCATACAATTTACCATCTGCTGAGAACCAGCACTAAAGAGCTTCCCTACCTGTGTGACTGTGAGGATAAAGCCTTTCCATTCCTCCCCACTGTCATAGTCCTCGACCTGAGAGAATAAAAAGTAGAAACCTAAGAGTGACTCCAAAACCAAGTATTCCCTGGTCTCTCCTGTGTGTGTCCCTCTCACAATCCCCTCTGAGTCTGCATTTTTAAGTTGACTTGGCACAACTTTCCAAAGGAAACCAGGTTTCCTCACTGTCACCTCTTATCTACCGCCACTGAGTGTTCAATCTGTACTCTGACTAGGATGACCATATTTCCCAAAGGGAAAACGGGACACCACGCAGGGCTCTGCCTGTCCCCTGCCCAAGCTCTGCCTCCCCACTGGGACAGGGCTTAAAGGGACTGTCCAGGTCAAAACGGGACATATGGTCACCTAACTCTGACCTCCTCTGGCAGCTCCCCCTCTGATTCAATGCTCAGGATGCCATAGTGACTACCTACCTTGAGACTGAAGACAGGTACAATCCCTCTGTATGACACCCTCAAACCCCTTCTCACATAATGTGGAGGGGGTGGTAGGCTATGGAAAACTGATTCCCTTTGCCCAGTACTTAGCAGAGATGGAGGGTGAGAACAGGTGCTCTAGAGAGAGGCAAAGGCACCAGTACCTCATCACTACACTTCTGCCTCTCAGTGTGTATGGGGAGGGGCACAGTAGGGGATGAAGACCCCCAGGTAACTATTTTGGAGGCGGGGGGGAGAGTACTATTCCCCCTCATGTACTCCATGCCCCACATTCATCTTCACCACTCCCTCTTGCTTTCTTATCCCCTTTCCCATTCTTCCTCTTCTCGTCCCTTCCCCCTCACCCTCACTGTACGTGAGAGAGAAGGGAAGTGGAAGTGAGTGCTGCACCAGAGGCAGACCTGGGTTCCCTAACTGGCCCTGCCATCGACTTGCTGTGTGACTCTGAGCAAGTCACTTCTTAGCTCTGTGCCTCTGTTTCACCTCACGTCCTGTTTGTCTTGCCTAGCTAGACGGTAAACTCTTTAGGGCCTCTCTGACTAAGTGTATGTACAGTGCCCCGCACAATGGGGTGCCACTCGTGCTTGGGGTGCTATAGAAGGCATACAATAAGTGAAGGAGATGACATGGGAGGAAGGGAAAGTAGAGACAGGCGGAAGTTGAGCCCTGACACTGGCCAGGAGGAGCGGGGGGAGGAGAAGGAGGAGCCCCCTCGCTTCAGCAGAGAGCAACAGGGCTGGAAAGAGGGGAGTGCCATGGTCCCAGAAGATGAAGCCCTGGCGACCCCTCCCCAGGCCAGGAGTGGCAGTGCTCTCTCCCAGAGGCAGGAGGTTCCATTCTGCGTGCATTTGTTATTTAAACGAACTAGAATGTTTGTTTCCAAAATGCCCCTCCCCACCCCCAAAAGGCAGTGGGTATCGTGCACCAACCTTTGGAAAACAGCCCTGCCATTGCTTTCTGCTATGTTATGGGGATCAGGAGCAGCTTGGGTCAAACAGGGCAAAGGTGCATAAGTCATGCCTTTCCAGCTTCACTAGGTTCACTCACCTTCAGCTCCACTTTGTCATTTCTCAGCATCAGGATAAACTGTGCACTGCACTTTTCCTCTGGATAAACGTTCACTACTGATGTCAAATTCGTCAGCTCTAGTTTCTCTAAATACTGAGAAAGGAAAGAAAGATGGGGCACGCATTAGAGCACATCTAAACAAGTCAGCTGTTCCCAGCAGACACTAACTGAAACAAGAACACTCCAGGGTTTTCTTAAATTTCAGCTTGGTGCCATTAACATACATGGCAATACAAAGTCTGTCATTGCTTCTTTTAGAAGCTATTTTCAGCTACAATATACATTTTGGGCAAACTTCTCACCACTCTTCAGTGTGGGTATGCAGCACGGATCCCAGAATTTAACAACATTCCCAGACTGATTACAAATTGTGCTAGATTCAGCCCTGGGTTACATTGATGTGTCCAGGTGTCCCATGTGGAGATATGTAGCTATTTTACTGATTTCCCCTGGCAGCCAAATATGGTGGGTCTCATTAGCTGCAATAGAGGAGCATAAAAAGTTTAGTCTCTTTGGAGCAAGAGATAATTAAATGGTGGGACAGAGGTTGTCCTGCATGGAGAAACTCTAGGAAGGGCCCACTCAGCAGAGAGGGCAGGGTAAAATATATGGGCCCTATCATGCCAATAAACACACAATATGAATAAATGTTGTTTAGTGGCGGTATAGGGCCTGTCATGGGGTGGCTTGCCCCTTTAAGGGAAGTCAGGGTCCACTGTACCCACGACAGGCATCTTTAAGGAGAATGAGCTCAGCTCACCTGTAAGCAGTCAACTCCTTAAGTGGCTGATTGGCGGCTAATGACCACCTGCCTCTGATAAAAGGCACCAGATGTCAGTTAGGGAGACTACTCCTAAGAAGAGGGGTTCCCAAGGAAAGGAAATAGCTCCTCACAGGCTGGGCTCCCTACAGCCATGTGTCGTCGAGAGAAGAGTTGCAGTTAGCAGGAAAGCCCTGGCTCCAGCAGAAAAATCAAGGATGAGAGTTAGCAAAGGGCTTGGCTGTGGGATTGATAAACTCAGAAGTAGTCTGTTTCCTGGCTGAGAAGCCTGGGTGTAGTTCAGTCATGCATTTCTGTGAACTTCCCAGTAGTAAATCAGACCCTTGGTAATAGGGATGCTGTGTGACATGCTAAAGCCACTCAGGGAAATCGAGGAAGGGTGCACCTTCACTGCTGGACCTGGCAGCAAGGGGTGCATATGGATGACACATGCTGTTGATAGGCTCATAAACTTTAGTTTGAGCTCTCCTCATCTGCGCTCTCCCTTCCCAGGCTGCCCCTTCTCCAGGGGGTGTCTGTTGTGGACATCTGACTGCTCTGAGGCCACTTCACTGTGGCTACTTTATACTGAGATGAAGTGGTAAAACTCTTCTCTCTGCCCTAAGGTTCCCCCAAGCATGCCACTGGCAAGAACAGTAGAGCTACAGTGAAAAACAAATAACAAATGTTAGAAAGCCGGGAAATGCAGCTTTAAGGTGACACTTCTTACACAAAACACCCACACAACGTTCTAGCTTCGAGCCTTGTAGACTAACAACAGGAGTTACAGTACTTCTCTAAATGTTTCCTCTAGAAGTTCTGTTATGGTTAACTTTTGGGGGCACAGGAGGTGTCTGACTATGCATGGATCTGCTGGAGAAAAAGATAAAGGAGAAAACATCTTTCTCCCATCATGAGTCCATCTCAGTTGGGCCAGCCTGTGGGCGCCGCCGCGCTGCAGCTGCAGCGC